GAGCCCCAGGCTCCAGGCCCCGATAAGCGGCCGCCAAGGAGTGAGCCGGTGTGTACCTGGACGCCCATCCCCGGACACAAAGAACCACCAACGCACCGATGTCTGAGGGCGTCCGCCACTGGCAGGGGGAGTGGTGGTGGGGGGAGATAGGCCTCCAAACCTTGGAGGGCCTGAGATGTCCCCAGAGAGGTGGCGCCTGACACTCAACCTGACCGAAGCACAGATCTAAACCCTCCTGTTATACTGTCTCTGTGATCGAGCAGCAGACGGATCCATCTGCAACCAGAGACACCGAGCTTTGACTGGCTCCGCACACAGAAGAAACTCTCTGTGAGGGGAAATGCACCGACGCCGGCCACTCGCCCACACGGAGAGCGTGAAACAGCCTCCACCTCTGCGACCAGCACGGCCGCTGCAGTCTCTCTCAGATTAGCAAAGGTCTGAAAATATCTTTGCTAATGACACTGAAACAATAATTACTGACTCCACAGACTGTAGGTCATGCTTTTATTGTGAAATACAGATTTGCTTCCTTTGGCGTTATAGAGTTTCCATTTTTATTTTTTAAATGAAAAGAACGACAAAACGCGGTGACTACAGAGAACAGGAGAGAAAACTTCACTAATGAGTAACAGTTAATAATAATAATCCAGAAGCTTCTGTTCTCTGTGATGACTTTAAAGCTTTTTGGACATTAAATATAAGAATTTTAAATTATAACAAAAAGTCATTTCAAAAACCAAACTGCATTCGATTTCTTCACGTCAGTGTATGGGCCGCATGTTTGGGTGATGTGGGCCACTTGCGGCCCCTGAGCCACGAGTTTGAGAGCCTGGTACAGAGTAACTTCACTGGCACAGATGGGCTTCCGTAGCCCATGCAGCATGGTTCTGGTAATGAAAACATAAAAAAAGTGATTCTTATAATAATTGTTGGACAGACCTGACTGAGACTCGGGTTTCTCGAAGATGTCGGCGCTGCCGCTCCAGTACTGAACGGCCGTCTTCCCGTGGTAATCTCTGATGTTGGTTTTAGCATCTGATTAAGACAAAACACGACAGTTTCCTCTGGATTAAAATCATATCGTATTGGCATTGTGTATGGATTCTGTTTGAGTCGATGGAGTCAGACTGACAGGAGTGAACATTCAGAGGTCGTCTTTGCAGGGTTCAAGGAAACGCCGGAAACATATCGAGAGGTACATCTCCATCAGTGAATCCTAAACTCAGGTTTAAATTCACAGGAGGACACTTCAGAGAGTCACGCAGACACAGGAAAGGATGTCAACCTGTATCCCTGCATTTCCTGTCAAGTGAAATGTTCTGTTTAAGCCTTTGTCTTCATATTTACAGCTCGGGGGCGCGGCGGTTTGGCCTGATCTCTAATGAAAGACATCTCAGTTTATTATTGGCTTTTATGTGACAGACTGACAGGAAGCTGTCTGTGTGCTGACGCTGCCCAGCAGGAGATAAAAACTGCTTATTCTGGGGTCATCATTCAGCATTTGTTTCATCAACTAAAAGACAGAAACATGCATCTCTGACAGGAACGTCGCGGATAATAAAGGTTTGTTTTTCCTTCAGTATCTGGATCACTAGGAAATGAGATGTGCAATTCTCTCACAAAGTTTTTCACTTTTAAATGTGACTTCCTCAAAGCTCAGAGTCAGTGGGACCCTACATCCACAAAATGGACGGATGGACAGAAGGAGCGAGGGATAGATGTAGGGATGGATGGGTGAATGGATGGATGGATGGTTGGATGGTGGATGGACAGATGGATGATGGATGGATGGTGGATGGGGGGATGGATGGATGGATGGATAGACAGATGGATGGATGATGGATGGATGGATAGATGGACAGATGGATGATGGATGGACAGATGGATGATGGATGGATGGATGGATAGACAGATGGATGATGGATGGA